TACTTTGCCTGTGTTTGTGTCTGTGTATATGTGGATATATACTTTCCTCTTTCTTTTTATCCTCCTTTTTTTTTTTTTTTCTTTTCTTTTTCAAATAGAAAGTCAAAGGAATTCATAAATGGTTTACTGCAAAGTGGATACCCATAATCGTGGATACAAACCGTAAGTTTGTAGGCAAAGCTTACCGATGCACTTTCCTTTGCTGTCTTGTCACGATTACTCTAGTCTTTGAAGATCCGTCAGCCGAAAGAGAAATGAGAGAGAGAGAGAGAGAGAGAGAGAGAGAGAGAGAGAGAGAAGCAGAGAATTAGAGTAAAAGAGAGAGAGAGAGAGAAGCAGAGAATTAGAGTAAGAGAGAAAGAGAGAGAGAGAGAGGGAGAAGCAGAGAATTAGAGTGAGAGAAATAGAGAGAGAGAAGCAGAGAATTAGAGTAAGAGAGAAAGAGAGAGAGAGAGAAATGAGAGAGAGAGAGAGAGAGAGAGAACGCTTTCGGCTTCGAATCCGTGCAAACAGTAGAGAAGATAATTATAGAACGTTAGAAACACACAAACACATAAACACATATACAGAGAGAGAGAGAGAGAGAGAAGTTACACAGAGTATAGTAAGCAACGATGTAAACGCGTTAGGTATGTCCAGCATTGTTATAACGCGTCAGACGTTCAAACTTGCTTGTTAGAGATCGTTAACGATTGACAGGATGCGTTTGCCTCACGGACAAGCACCATGACCGATCAACTAATCTCACTAATCTCGTTTAGTTCTCCTATGATCCACTATGACGAATAAATGACAATGACAGATATTCTTCTTTCGACTGATTGGGTTGGTCGATCGATTATTCGATAAATATTGATAGATAGATAGATAGATAGATATATGTATGTGTAGGGTATCTATCTATGTATCTCTATGTATATATGTATATATGTACGTATGTATGTATGTATGTATGTATGTATGTATGTATGTATGGAAAATGAGTACAGAATTTTAGTTGAAAAAAAGAAAAAAGAAAAGAAAAACAACCAAAAAGAGATCAAGAAAAAATTTGTAAAAGAAATTTTCTTTCTTCTTTTTTTCTTTTTTTTTTTTTTTTTTTTTTATAAAAAAGAGAATTTATCTTTCTGATTTTTTTTTCTTTTTTCTTTAAATCACTCGAAAAGAAAGAAAAAGATTATATTTATTCTATTTTAATTTCCGACTATTTGTAAAACATTGTTGTATAATAAACATATCGTTCCCCGTGTATGTTGAAGATATATTCGACTCGACAAAAAAAAAAAAAAAAAAGAAAAAAAAAAGAAGAAGAAAAAAAGATTTTATTACACGCTTTAAGTAAACAATTCGATCAATTTTTGATAAACAATCCTACGTTACATTTCTACGAGTCACATACCAACCATACATACATACATACATACATACATACATACATACATACATACATACATACATACATACATACATACATATATACATACACACACTTACACAACACACCACACAACACACATGCGCACACACGCGCGCGCAAAGATACATTGTAATACGTAATAGAATAAAACGAGAATAGGAATTGTAAAAGAAAAAAAAACAAAAAAAGAAACAAAAAGAAAAAAGAAAAAGAAAAAAGAAAAAGATAAAAGAAAATAAGGAAAAGTTAAATTATCGAGGAATACGAACGAATAGCAAGAAGAAAAAAATCTTCGATTTTTCGCTTTATAAGAGGATAGAGAGATAAAGAAACAAGAGAAAAAGACAATGAAAGAGATAGAATGGCGCAGGGGGGAGGTGGGATAGGAGGAGATAGAGAGATCGTAATGAAACACACACTTGGGACATAAGATAGGGAGGAAGTAATACTGGCAAGAGTAATTTCGAATTATTTACGAGAACAATTTTGTACCTACGAAAGCGATGAAATTTTCTAAAGGATTTGTCTCCTTTCCTTTCCTTTCATTTCCATTTCTTTCCTTTCCTTTCCTTTTCTTTATTTTTCTTTCGTCGAATTAATTATTAGACAAGTTTTTCGCATCGACATAATTTTTACACATGTACGTACATACATACATACATACATACATACATAAATACGTACATGTATGTACATATATATATATGGATCTTAAAATGTATTTTCGTGATTTCCGTAAGTCTTTTAAAAAATTTCTTTTTCTTTTTTTTTTTGCACCCTTATATATATGTATATATTCTTTTTATCTCTTCTTATTTTTTATTTATACGTTCTTTTTTTCTTTTCTTAATTTCCTTCTCTCATTTATCTAGCCTTTTCTTTTTTTTTTTCCTTTTTTTTTTTCTTTATCCCTTGTTTATTTCATTCATTGTTCAATTATTTTCTTCATCTCTTTTTCCACGTGCCACCTTCATTTGTTCAAATTTTGAATGATCGTAAAACTATAAAGAGGCCAGAGGTTGATTAAGTTTACGAGATAATTCTTTAACTGTGTGAGCCTTGAATAAGTCACGGAAAAAAAAAAAAAGTTAGTGATTTTTTTTGAAATCATTTAAGAAATTTTGACTCTTTCGAAATACACATACGGAGAAAATATTAAAGTGTCCATTGCTCTTCAAAACCTTCCTCTCTGTCTCTGTCTCTGTCTCTGTCTCTGTCTCTGTCTCTGTCTCTGTCTCTGTCTCTCCTACTTTCTTTATTTCTTTTTTATTTGTGAAAAAAAAAAAAAAGTTTATAGACACGTACATACGAAGAGAGCACGGCTCTTCCATTTTCTCCATTTAAACTTGGCACGGATCTTCGATTCCGTCGACTTTTGGTAACTCGACATACTCGAAGAATAAATCTGGGACGACTTTTAGTGAATACTTTATGAACTGAAACTACGACTCAAACGAATCCTCTATCTCTCTATCTTTACTATCTCTCTATTTCTCTGTCTCTTTCCTTTTTCCATCGTTTTTACCATCGTATAAATAATTGGCTTCATCATTTTATCCTTCGACTTCAATCTCGTCATTAATAATGAATTTTTCTTTCCCATACCATTTCCTTGAGATAATCCTTTACAAGGATCGATTTCGATCGAACGAAAAATCATTTCAAAATCATTATTA